CAGCTCAGCCGTCGGCGTTTAATCTCGTGGGAATGGATGTCTTTGCCTTTGAAGACCCGTCACAGCGGTACAACCTCGCCTCACGCCCAGACAACACCATCTACAAACTCAACCAGCAGGTGAGGGGGGCAGCAGCCCACGCACCACGTGGGGAGAATGTTTGTTTGGGAGCATGGAGTGCTGAGACAGTATATGTAGCACAGTATATGTAGTGCATGGGCGTGAGAGTATTCTTTGTGATGAAGCAAACCGGTGAGTGGGTATTAGAAACCCTACGTCCTGATCCCAGTCACAGCCAGTCGTAGAGGACCATTTAGTGTTGTAGGGTTTTAGTTCAGGCGTGTTAACACTTGTGTGTGTTATGCTGCAGATAACGGGCACTTTGACGTAAGACTATTCGCCTGTCGATGGCAGGGCCCGTTAACGTTTGTGACACAGATGTCGCGATGGGTCTATCCTGTGTGATGAACAAATCCCCAAACGGTCCGTTTTCACCGCTTGGGTGCACATCGTTTAGGCTCAGTCGCACGGTGCATTAACTCATGCCCTCCCACCACTTCACAGGACCCGAATTGTCCGTTCACATTTGTGGTGACGTTTGTGGTGCCATGTGCCGAGAATCTCTCCGTGGCGTGTTACTACCAGGTGTGTGGATGACCCATGCACAGCGGTGCGGCAGTCATTGAGGGGGTGTATGATGTCACGGTTTTAAACTCTAACCCTATCAGGGCTTGTATGATGTGATGATCATCATGCTGAACCCTAGAACCCAAACCCATGACCTGTGAAACACTGTATTGTAGATATCATAGTCTCTCTCACTGTGTATGTGGCCATGTGCCAACCACTCATGCGAGTCAGCATGTGCTACCACCACCACCCACACGACTGAGTGCACGCATAGTGTCTGTGTTTCAATCGTTTGTGTGCACAGTCGCTGTCGTGCTACTGCGAACGTGCGTGGGCTGGCCGTTGGGTGTGTTGTTATCATTTGGCGTCTCTTCCAAATACACAGTGGAGTTTGAAATATACAATACCATCCAATTAATATTGACGTACACTAACTTCTCCTAAAACCCATAAAACTCAAACCCCGAAAACTATAACCCTCAATTCCTAGAACTCTAAACTTAAAACCCTACAACAATCCCATCCAATTGATATTGACGTACATTGACTTCTCCTAAAACCCTAAGACTCTAAACCCCTAAATCTATAAACCTAAAACCATGAAACAACCCCATCTAAATCCAATTGACATTGACGTGCACTGACGTTTCTCTCGTCGCAGCCCACGGATTCCGATTGGCGCGAGAAACGCTCGACATTCTGCGATGTGCTGTCAGACTTTATGGACGGAGACGACAACTACCGCAACCAACGCTTCAAGCTTATTCCATCGGTGGAAAAGGGGTGAGTGAACACACACACATATATACACCACCACTACACATGTACCTACAACACATACACACACAACACCACTACACATATACGCAATCAACGCTTTAAACTTATTCCATCGGTGGAGAAGGGGTGGGTGAACACACACACATACATACAACACTACACATACAAATACAACATCACTACACACACACATACAACATCACTACAAATGCACCTACAACAACACCACACACACATACAACACCACTACACATACACACTACCCATACAACACCACTACACATGCACATACACCAACACCACTCACACATACAACACCACTACACATGCACATACAACACATACACACACACATACAACAACACTACACATACACACACTACACATACAACACCACTACACATGCACATACAACACATCCACACACATACAACAACACTACACATACACACACTACACATACACGCAACCAACGCTCGAAGCTTATTCCATCGGTGGAGAAGGGGTGGGTGAACGCACACACACATACACCACCACTACACATGCACCTGCAACACACATATACAACAACACTACACATGCACACATGACACATACACGCAACCAACGCTTCAAGCTTATTCCATCAGTGGAGAAGGGGTGGGTGAGCACACACATACACCACCACTACACATGCACCTACTACACATGTACACACGACTCATACACGCAACCAACGCTTCAAGCTTATTCCATCAGTGGAGAAGGGGTACATACAACAACACTACATATACACATAAAATTTCACTACACGAAGCTACACTACATGTAAGCTATATTGCATGCACTCAAATGCACACATGTATACATAGCATTCATTCATATCCATTCGCTTGTGTCATACATCGTATTCGTTGTTATACATTCGCCTGTGCGCATCGCAAACCGTATACTAATCCCGAACAACCCTAAACCCTACACCCTAAGATCGTATATCCTTCGTAAGATGGTGGCGGGTAAACCGGCAATCGTCGGCAACAAAGGACTCAAGAATCCCTACTTCCATGGCGACAACTGGTTTGAGGTGTGTACGTGCACAAACGACAGTGAAAGTGGCTACAGAGCATCTAGAGGTCATATAGTAAAGGTTTTTTTATTATATATATTGATCAGTTATTCCTACCTGATTATACTCCAAGCCAAGCAATCGTCTCATATCACATATAGTGTGTATTAGGGTCTCATAATTCGTATAGCTGGTGTTCCATAATCTCAAAATTCCCATATATGGTTACTTATGGTCTCATAATTCCCATATATGGTGACTTATGGACGCATAATTCCCATATATGGTTACTTATGGTCTCATAATTCCCATATATGGTGACTTATGGTCTCATAATTCCCATATATGGTGACTTATGGTCTCATAATTCTCATATATGGTGACTTATGGTCTCATAATTCTCATATATGGTGACTTATGGTCTCATAATTCTCATATATGGTGACTTATGGTCTCATAATTCCCATATATGGTGATTTGTGTTCTCATAATTCCCATATGCTTACTTATGGTCTCATAATTCCCATATATGGTGACTTTTGTTCTCATAATTCCCATATATGGTTGCTTATGGTCTCACAATTCCCATATATACTTACTTATGGTCTCATAATTCTCATATATGGTGACTTATGGTCTCATAATTCTCATATATGGTGACTTATGGTCTCATAATTCTCATATATGGTGACTTATGGTCTCATAATTCCCATATATGGTGATTTGTGTTCTCATAATTCCCATATGCTTACTTATGGTCTCATAATTCCCATATATGGTGACTTTTGGTCTCATAATTCCCATATATGGTTGCTTATGGTCTCACAATTCCCATATATGCTTACTTATGGTCTCATATTTCTCATATATGGTGACTTATGGTCTCATAATCCCTTTGCTTGGTGTAGGTGGACGTGGACGTCAACTCAGATGCACATGCGCGAGAGATCACGTCAATGGCTGTAGGGGTGACCAAAAGTCTTGTGGTAGACATCGCCTTCCTCATCGAAAGCAAAACCGCCGAGGAACTGCCGGTAAGAACAGAAGCCTGTCATTACAATACGATACGATACAGTATATTACCGTACAATATAGTGCAGTACAGTACCGTACAAAATAATACAGTACAGTACCGTACCGTACAATATAATACAGTACCGTACAGAACAGTACAATATAATACAGTACAGTACAATATAATACAGTACAGTACAGTATAGTTTAGTATAGTATAGTACAATACAGTATAGTACAATACAGTACAGTACAGTACAGTACAATACAGTACTGTACAATATAATATAATACAGTACAAAATAATACAGTATAGTACAGTACAATATAATACAGTACAGTACAGTACAATATAATACAGTATAGTACAGTACAATATAATACAGTACAGTACAGTACAATATAATACAGTACAAAATAATACAGTATAGTACAGTACAGTACAATATAATACAGTACAAAATAATACAGTATAGTACAGTACAATTTAATACAGTAAAGTACAGTACAGTGATATGTAATGTAATACCACGTCATGCCATGCGTAGATGCTAGGCACACAGTAGTGGGCTGCTGTGCATTTTGTTCCTTACTACTAGTACGTGGCTGTGTCGTGGTGCACGCTACAAATAGACACGCGTTCACTTTCACACGCATTTGGTACTATTCATACGTGTATCCCTTCAACAAGTAACCCTAAGACCTTAAAACCCTACCGCATATGTCTATTCTCCTCTGCAGTTGAGTATCTGTTGTATGACCCCATGTACACAACGGAGTCGCATGTCGCACACAATGCATTGCAATACCTATGACAAACCATTCACAAAGGCAAAACCTTAAAACCCAGAAACCGCTAAACCCTAAACCCTGAATAATACGCAGGCACACTCCTCCGTATGTCCCCACTAGCACTCGTCCAACTACACCTTATACCCTCTGTAATGGCATCTGCAGGAGACTATCATCGGCACAGTCCAATTAAACCCTAAACCCTATATAATACATAGGAACACTCCTTCGTAAGTCCCCACTAGCACTCATCCAACTACACCTTATACCCTCTGCAACGGCATCTGCAGGAGACTATCATCGGCACAGTCCAATTCGATCGCATTGCACTCAAGTCCATTGCCGTTCCCATCGCCAAGAACACTCCCACAACAGCCACAGCAACAGCAACAGGAGACCCCACCACACCACACACACACACACCCACCAAGGCCACCCCAGACAACAACACAACACACACACACAACAACACAACGCAAACAGACAACACAACACACTCAGGCAACGTCAGCACACACACCTCAGCCTCACGCTGTGTCAGTGCCAGTCCGTCGCTAGGCACACGCAACGGCACAGGCGACTCTGTCCAGAGGTGAGCCACACGGCCTGTGGGGCGATGGGACTGTGGGTGTGAGTGCGTGTGTGCACTGTGAAGTGGATGTGATTGTATGAGTGAGTGAGTGTGCGGTTTTAATTGAGTGTACCTAGGTAGCTGAGTGAGTGAGTATGAGTGAGCCCCTGTGAGGCCTGTTTGCGTGTCATCGCGAGATTGTCTTGAAACCGATGTGTCGCACATATAGTATGGACTACAACCCTAAACCCTAATATCTTATGTAGATTTATCCAGAAGGGAATCATATCCTTTCATCTTGCTGTTTCTAATCTCACACCTCACACCTGCACACATTGAACTGCTGTTGCTAATATCTGAACTAATTCTAAACTATACTGAACTTTTTTCCACCAACCGTTGCAGCCTTGTGCCAATGAAGAGCGCGTTGCAGTCGCAGTCCATGGGGCGACCAAGGAAAGCCAGACAACTAGTCAGAATACACTCACACTCAACGGATAGTGTCACGGGCAGCCGTCAGCAGACGTCCCCACAACCACAGCCACACATGCGCAACCGCTTCTTACGACGACAGAACACAACACCCACGCCAGCAGCACACACCACAGCCACGGCCAAGACTCGCTGAACACAACACCCACGCCAGAAGCACACACCACAGCCACGGCCAAGACTCGCTGAACACAACACCCACGCCAGAAGCACACACCACAGCCACGGCCAAGACTCGCTGAACACAACACCCACGCTAGCAGCACACACCACAGCCACGGCCAAGACTCGCTGAAATCAACACGCCCACCACACTCTCACGGGGACTACTCAACTAGACCTATCGTAGCTAAACTAGACCTACCACCACTACCACCATCAACTAGACTTAGCACCACCAAATGCATACAAGCGATCACAATCTCACCCGTTGCATCTCCGGTAGCACAATAAATCACGTTACAGGACAAGTGCATGTAGCACCGGTGTACAGTGACACTGATAAAGACACGTTCAATGTGTGTTCATTGTGTGGGGGTGTCTTAACAGACAGTCTTTCCACCCATGCCACAGCAACGGATATGCAGTTTAAGCTTTGTATAATTGCATACGCAGTGAACGTTCGGAGGTGCGGGATATCAATAGTGCACCTAGACACCAATTTTAGGACTGTCCCCAGACGCACCGGTTTTACACGCTGCGGGGCTGATCTGTCCCCACCAGCCTACACCAGAGGGCGATGCGCATCGCTCACGTCCATCTGGGGCATTGTGAGACAGCAATCTCAGATGTGCGAAACATGCACGTAGCACGAAGGGACCAACTGTGATCATGCACATGCAATACACTAAGTCATGTGGTCATGCACATGCAATACACTAACTCATGTGGTCATGCACGTGTATGGGTTGGCTATGTGGTCGTGTACATGCAATACACTAGGTCATGTGGTCATGCACGTGTATGGGTTGGCTATGTGGTCGTGTACATGCAATACACTAAGTCATGTGGTCATGCACGTGTATGGGTTGGCTATGGGGACATGCACATGCAATACACTAACTCATGTGGTCATGCACGTGTATGGGTTAGCTATGTGGTCTTCAGGTGTATGGATTAAAACACTAAACCCTAAAAACCCTTCGCCACGAAGGCTGTAGGCCACCTGCCGTCAGTGAGAGAGCGTCGATGAGATGCCAAAGATGTGACACCACACTCGACAACGCGTGACGCGATGTGCCTTTGCAATAGACGACGCACGTGACAGCAGTGCCGCACACACGTGTGTGCACCTCAGCAGCATACTCGGGGACACGCACCAACAAAATGGGATCAACTACATAGTGGAGAACACATCAATACCCATAGCACGCTAAACAGAAACAGCATGTGCACACCAATGCCATACCACACTATTTCAGTACGCGCACACCAATGGCATGGTACAACGCCACATTATATGCACACCAATAGCATACATCGGGATTTGGCGGAAAAGCACTCGTCTTCCATTCACAGCCATAGAACCACATAACGGAGCACCCCTTACAATCAGATGACAAACCAATCAACCCCAGACACCCGCACCCGCGAAATGCTATAGGACACCCCGGCCAATGAGATGCCTATCAAAACATCTAAGCCAATGAGATACTTGTAAATACATCTAAGCCAATGAGATGCCTATCAAAACATCTAACTCAATGAGATGTCTATAAAAACATCTAGGAATAAACAATCGGGTAACAAAGACATCGACCACAGAAGTCGGCAGTGTAGACTAGTCATCATCAGTGATAGAATAAACAATGGTACATCTTATAATAAACAATGACACAGCTTATAATAACAATGGTACATCGTATAGTAATCAATGGTACATCCTATAAGAAACAATGGGACATCTTACAATCAACAATGGTCCATCTTATAATAACAATGACACAGCATATAATAAACGATGGTACATTTTATAATAAACAATGGTACATCATATAATAAACAATGGGACATCTTATAATAATCAATGGTACATCTTATAATAAACAATGGCACATCTTATAATAAACAATGGAACATCTTATAAAAACAATGGTACATCTTATAATAAACAATGGTACATCATATAATAAACAATGGGACATCTTATAATAATCAATGGTACATCTTATAATAAACAATGGCACATCTTATAATAAACAATGCAACATCTTATAAAAACAATGGTACATCTTATAATAAACAATGGTACACCTTATATTCAATAATGGAAAATAATATAGTAAACAATGAGATATCGTGTTTATCTTATAGTATACAATGAGATATCTTATAATAAACAATGACACATCTTATAAAATACAATGGGACATCTCACAATCAACAATAGTACATCTTAAAGTAAACAATGGTGCATCTTATAAAAAAACCATGACCCATCTTATATTAAACAATGGGACATCTTATCATAAACAATGGGGCATCTTATAAAAAACGATGACATAACTTAAAATCAACAATGGGGCATCTTATAATAAACAATGGGATATCTTATAATAGACAATGGGACATCTTATAAAAACGAATAGTACAGTTTATAAAAGACTATGATACGTCATATTACAAAAAATGATATATCTGATAGTACACAATGGATCATCTTATAATAAACAAAGGGACATCTTATAATAAACAATGAGAATTCTCATTATAAACGATGGGAAACTTTTAATAAACAATGGTACATCTTATAATAAACAATGGGACATCTTATAATAAACAATGGTATATCTTGTAATAAACAATGTCACATCTTTTAATAAACAATGAGACATCATATGATAAACAATGGGACATCTTAACATAAACAATGAGAAATCTTATGATAGACAATGATACATCCTATAGTACACAATAAGACATCTTATAATAAACAATGGTACATCTTGTAATAAACAACGACACATCTTATAATAAACAATGAGACATCATATGGTAAACAATGGAACATATTATAATCAACAATGGGACATCTTATAATAAACAATGGTGCATCTTATATTAAATAATGGGAAATTTCATAGTAAACAATGGGACATCTAATAGTAAACACTGGGATATCTTATAATAAACAATGGGACATCTTATAATAAACAATGGCACATCTTATAGTAAACAATGATGCATCCTATAAGAAACAATGGTGTATCGTATAATATTAATAAAAACCGTGGTACATCTTATACTGAACAATAGCACATCCTATAATAAACAAGGGGACTTCTTATAACAAACAATGGTACATCTTATAATGAACAATGAAACACCTTTAAATAAACAATGGTACATCTTATAATAAACAATCACACATCTTATAATAAACAATGCAACATCTTATAATAACAATGCTACATCTTATAATAAACATCCGTACAGTATATATTAAACAATGGAAAATCTTACAATAAGCAATGGGTCATCTTATAGTAAACAATGAGATATCTTATAATAAACAATGACACATCTTATAATAAACAATGTGACATTTCACAATCAACAATGGTACATCTTAGAGTAAACAATGCTACATCTTAAAATAGACAATGACACAACTTATAATCAACAATGGGACATCTTATAATGAACAATTGTGCATCCTATAAGAAACAATGGGATATCTTATAATAACTATGGTGCTGAG